GAAGACTCACCAGTACTGACTGCTGCTGTCTGGATATGCAGTTTCTGAGTCAGCGATTCAATGAGCTTCAGTTGCGCTTCTTCAAACTGCTTTTGTTGCTGCTGCAATAATTCTCGGAGCTGATCAAATTCGATTGACATCGTGGGTTCCCGTTCGCCAATTGTTGTAACGGTATTTTCCCTCAGCTTAGTTCTCGGTCTGAGCCTCCCAAGCTAGCGTTCACGTCAAAACAAACACCAAAGGTGCACAAAGGTCTATTAACGCCCAAAACGAAATCAGGAACAGTTGTACAGCGCTTCGTATATATAGCCTAAGCGGCTATAACTTTCTGGAATTTTTGACGCATTCTGGAGCTCCATTGGCAACCGGCATTCGGCCAATACTGGGTCGTGATTGGCTGTTGGGTCCAGATTGTTGACCAATCAGATCTCGCCTTGATGCCGGACCGGCAAGCGTCCCGAATTTTGGGCCAACCTCGAGCGAGCCAGGCTTCTCGGCCGTAGCAGCGCCTAAAGACGTGCGGTATAGTGGGATCCGCGTGGATTCCTGCCTAACAAAACTGGATGAAGACCAGAAGTTGGAGGTGCATTACCTTGGATTCCACAAAGCCTTGTTTCGACCATTCACTGGCTTTTGGTTGAAAAGCTAGGGGTGTTGTATTATCAGTGATCGGGAATCAAAATAACACATCTGTAGTTACCACATTTATTGCAAGTACCCTTTTGGAAAATGCGCAATAATGTCCACTCACCTCAGTTGTCTGGACGGTCCTTTTCTTCTAGATAGACATAAATAGGCCTGACAAGCAGCGACTGAAGAATTCACCGCCATCCGTGAACAGAGAAGGTTGAAGTTTTTCAAGGCCAAGGGCACACTAACGCTTGACTAGAGATACACAGTCGGACACTTCTGATGTTATGGGTGGTTGCATGTTTACAGTCCACAGTTCTGTCGAAGGCCGACAGTCCGGATTGAGGTTAGAAGGTGGCCAACTGAACTGTTGTTCGAAGTGTTGTGACCAGTGGTCCAAACGCTCTCCTTTACCAGATCCTACAGGGCCGCCCTGGTCCCTGATAGTTTTGCTGACAGGAGGCTTCCGAGGACCAGTGGAGCGAATCAAGTAGAACAGCTTGCGGACGTTTCTATCATTTTTCGCCCTTTCATTTCTTCGGCCTTTCGGGTCCACCAAGCTTCGTGGTCAGCACGGACGCTCTGTATGACCAAGAGGAATTTGCAGCCAGGCCTCCAGGAAAGCAACGGTCCTACCCGAGATCCAATAGTTGAATTAGGTTTGCTGGGTTGTACCCCAAGTGAGAGTTCCGGCTGTGAGTAGCATTGTAGATATCTCTTCCCGGTGACCGGTAAAATCCGACATAGGATGAAGAGCTGGTCCTGATAATTTCGTTTGATTTCTGGGATCACTATCTTCTCAATAGCTAAGCGAGATATGTGTGCGATGAAAAGCAGCAGCTCACAAGTGCATGGTCGTAGTCCGTGCTGGTGTTCCATATAAATCGACAGGCAATGATCAAACCTCGCCACCGGTAACTGACAATGATGTAGTCCAGTTGGATTAGGGACTCGGTTCGTTGGTTGGCACCACGTCGTCAAGTGGTTCCTATTGTTCCGGAAATCGGTACTGTAAAGAAACAGTCTGTGATCCGCACATATCTAAGGTAAACGATTCGCGTTGTCCGTGCGTCTCGTATCCAACCCCAAGTGACCGCTCGATTGGGTCCTTAGCAGCGTCTAGTCTACCCACATGGGCGTGCATGTCACCAGCAACCACAAAGATGTCTTTGCTTTTAGCCCGTTGTAAAACGATACATATAGTACCACAGAAATTGACTTTGGTAGATCCAGAGATACAACCCTTCGGGATGTAAGCAGACAACAAACAGAGTGTAATGGACCACGCTTTCTCGAAATTCTCTCACAGACGTTGCCAAACGAACCGCACAGAGGCAACTATCAACGGATATACAACCAAGTAGGAATGCTTCCGTTCATTCGCTGAATACAATGCACTACACAGCATATCCAACTACACCCAGAGATGTGCAGCCAAAACTTGGAAGAGGGTGAAGGGGTGGTCGGTCCAATTACAGCACTTGCGTCCTGTATCATTGCTTCTGACAGATAGCACACACTAATCCAGAGGGAATCCAGTGTACGAGCAAGAGCCACCTGTTTCCCCGTTCGTTTCAGTGTGCAAACGTTAAAAGCAGCTTATTAATCCAGCTTTCGGGGTTTGAAAACAGATTTCGAAGTGTTTAGAGTTGTCGCTGATGTCGGACATACAGAAGCTGTAGCTAACTGTGATGCATGGCAAACGAAACGATCCATCTTAGTGCTGGGACCTGCGGGGAGTGTTTGAGTTGAGATGGGTAGGGTATAATAGAAAGAACTAGGTAGTGTACGAAGGGCGGTGTTAGCAGTAGCATGTTTTCACTCACTCGCTTTGTTGTGTGCAGGAGGTAAGGTAATCTGGCGGATCACACCACGCGACGGTCGATGTGGCATGAGGTTGCTTTTAGTTGTGAGTGTCATGGTTGTACGTGCGCTAAGCTACTGATTGGGCTCCCACATCTAGACAGGACGGTTGGGGTACTCGAACAAAGCCTTTGATTAAAAAAACCTGGCCCTTAGGCGGTGATATTTTTCAGGAAGTGCAAGTGCATTTCAGTGTTTATCAAACAAGTCACCAGACATGTTTCGATCCCCAACCTGGATAGCCAGGAGACTATTTTTGAACCTTTAGGGATTAACCAACTTGGTGTGGCAGACTGTGAGTGTGGCACGGACACCACCCAGTACAGCCCAATTGTAGGCGCACAAACCGTCATTTCATGGTAAGGTTCAGTCTATGTGACAGAAAGATGCTGGCGACCGAAATCGTGTTGAGGAAGGAACCGGTTTGTCGAACACTGACACCTAGCGCTGTAGTGCTTGATACTCAGTGTAGCAGAATAATTTCTATCTTCCTTAGGATGGTATAACACCAATGGCACCCTGAGCCCCCGTGGTTGGTCCCGTCTTTCCGTATTGTTTGAATGCAGGGGACACAGCTCACCTGAGGTGCATCAACTTTCGATGTATAACGGTGGACGGTAGGCATTTTGTGGTACTTTAAACTTGAAAAATCAGATCAAATCATTCTATGGAACTACTCCGGTGCATAGCTACTGTGCAACCCGAAAAAAGCACGGGGATCAGTCTACTGTTAGATCATCCAAGTTTACGCGGGATTTGGCTTGGCCACAGATCTGCTTACCAGCTCGCTCCCCAACCACTTAGTTCTTCTCAGCTTGTGGCACAGATTGACGTTTTGATACGGTTTAAAACCCCGGTGCTTCAGCACTCTTTCTGAGCTCGAGGTAGCTCAAATGACCAGGGCTTACTGACCGAAAGGTCTGTGGTATTACAGCTGAACGATCATTTGCCGGAAATCTCTGTGTTGGTACCAAAAGTGACCACTTGGTTCACCGAAAGCATCGACCGCTGTGATATCAGAAGGAAGGGTACGTTCCACGATCCTCTGCAAAATCACCTGTAATGACCATTCCCTGCACGTGGCCTGTCAATGTACAAACTCAATATGTTGAAATATTGGTAGCTCGGGTGAGTTTATTGGTTGTTGGTCAGATGGCTGTTGATCTGTTCGCCGAGCTTTACAATTGGCTTGCAAACGTTTCGTCACCATACGAGGAGACATCATTAGTGCGCAGTTGAGTGGGTACTTCTCCCTTGCCTGCCTGCGATAACTCCGTCTTTGCTGTTTTGGGAGACATCAACTGCGCACTGATGATGTCTCCTCGTATGGTGACGAAACGTTTGCAAGCCAATTGCCAAACTCGGCGGACAGATCAACAGCCACCTGATCAACAACCAACAAACTCAATAAAATGAGATTTCACGACTGCCATGTATTAGAGAAAGAGCAAGCGCAGTGTTGACAAAGGGCGTCCAGCAGGCTTTTCTCCTAACCGTGATTGTTGAATCTCCCACAATTTTTGTGTTCGTTAATCCGTAGGAGCAATATCTTATATCAGCGTGTTGAAGGCGTCCTGTCAGATTCATAGCACCTTTTACGCACTTGTTGACAATAATTAGAGGGATCACAATTGACATCAACTTATGAACATACTCTCTATTCTGGCGTAGTCAACTCGAATCATCACTGACATTGTAATATGTTCTAGGTCGGATGTAGTTAAGCTTTATGCCGACACCATATAATCCTTGTCTCAGATAAGCACTCGGTTCCCTTGGTTTTGTTGCTATACGATCTAGCAATATTCTTTACGTCGAAACCTGTTGTCCCTTGTCAGTTGGCTAGCTCTTATTGACACACCTGCTAAAATTTCATTTGTCTGTTCGAAATTGTAGCCTGATTTTTAGTGTATCCTCGACTCGTGATGAGGACGGACGATGCAGAAACAGTATGCCCTCAGCACCAGGAAGAGTTGTCGTCTGCACTTGTCTCACATAGCGTCCCCAATTGTTCCGTTACGCTGGATATCAAAGAACACTCACATCACTCTTCCAGGCCTGAAGTTGATGTACTTATTTGTGGATTTAACCTCTCAAAACTATCCAGAAATCAGCAGTTCGCAGTTTCAGTGTTTGGAATTTTCGTGGCCTACCTTTTTTACGGAGCTCTACAGGTGAGTCAGTCCTCTTAATACTGTAATAGTTGATGTGGTTTTGATGTCCCTATCAACGATATTTCGCCTGAGATGTTTCTGCTAAACTTACGAGGCGTTTTATTTTATGGTCCGTGTTACTCTCAAATTAGTAATGACGATACTGAACAGCTTTGTTTTTAAGAATGTCTGCAGTCTCTTGTTATGAGAAAATCGAATTGACGGAATGCCTTCTGCACCGTTTGAGAACAAAATCTATCCATTATTTCCCTCTCGATAGTTATTTTGCTGATTAACTGTCTTTTCGATTTAGGTTTTATGCTACTGTGCTCCGCGTCGTTAGAAGTTTGTGCTGGTTCCCTCCATCTGAGTTTCCTATAGTGGAAACTGATGCACAAACGTCTCTGAGCAGATTCTTCTAAATGGTGTACTAGTTCAGCGTGTGCTTGTGAACCCCTACTTCTATACTCCTCGCCACCAGCCAAACTTCAAAAGAAGTGGCTTGAGTTTGGTGATATACTTACATATCTTTTCAGCAGTCCTGTGGCAGATGAACTCAGTTCATTTACTTCGAGGATTAAAGTACTGTTAAGAGAATTTCACCCCGTGTATCACCTCAAAAGTGATATCCAAAGAGCACTTTATACAAAACGACAGCGCTAACTCTTACCTAATGGTCTGTCTGGCTGTTCGTTTAGCATGGTCATGGTAGCACCACAACTAGGAACTAACTCACAAAACATTGAGTGATATTTACCAGAGCATCGGCTGGTTGATCAACTCTGGGTCGAACAAGCTGCGCTGGTTGGAACAGGTTTCCCCATATATCGGTTTTATTGAACACAAAACTTGGACTAGTCAAAGGTTCGCACTGCATGTGAGGCGAACTGGGCTGCAGTCAAGCTGCGGACCATAGGATTCCCGTTCCCCTCTGTATAGTGTTTTAATGTGTGTTTGTGTATAAGGGGGAAAAGCCGCAGAATCTGATATGCTGTTTATAACGATAAGCACCTCTTCGCAACTAGCCTGACGGGCATGATAAAGACCTTTTCCGGTTTGTGCAGTTATCTGGCCCCCAGAGAGAGACAGCAGACTCCGAAAACGCTGCCTTTTCTCAGTCCCTTGCTTCTCATTGCGATTAGGTTCTCCCCTGAGTGGTCCTCATTTAAGAAAGTAACGATTTTTTCGGCTGTTGGTCGGTGGCACTGGCGGGTTGCAAAAGCTCGTCTCGCTGTGATACAGTCTAGGTCCCCGGCGTTCTCCACTTTTTTCGGCCTTCTATTCAATGACAAAAATAGAAGTTGCCACTCCTTGTTTCTGTTTCAGTGGTTCTATTAAGTAATAGGTCATTTTAAAGTATTGCAGAGCAACCACAGCGTCATCATCGCTAACAGCAGTATACAGCAGTCTACTAGTGTGACGGTGATACTACTGACATGGGAGGCGTGCGAGTAATGTTTTCTTCTTTTAAATTTGCTTTGCGTCTCTTGAAAAGGGAGATCTATTAAGAAATTTGTGCAGTTGCCTTGTAGCATTTGCTTCACCAAATGGGAGGAAGAAGGCCTTCGCTGCGGAGTTATTTATTAGAAAATGCCAACTGATCAGTTACAGACTATTGGACAGGGAAGCCAAACTCTCATATGCGTCTTATTTACAAAAACTGAACATCCATCTTCTCTTGAACGTGTCTCCCTGAACTTTCCTGGATATTCATTGACCGTTGCTCAAATCCAAGCAAATGCTACAAAGCGACTCCACAAATTCCGCAATGAACCTTCCTTTTCATGAGACACAAAGTGAATTTACAAGAAGAAAACATTACTCGCATGCCTCTCACCTCAGTAATATAACCGTTACACTAGTAATACATGCCAATCCTAAACTATCTTGAGAAAAGGGAGCCTTAGTAAAGAGTGGAAAACAGAGAGAGGTAGAAACATGGCGAGAAGAAACCTGATGTCCTCAAGGGAAACGACCAGGAGGTAGGACGTCATTAAAGTAAGTCTTTCTGAGCATCGTCTGGGATAAAGGCACCATCACCGGAACTGACTCAGCGTCTTTTGGGGGCCTCACCCTACACAAGCCCAACACGACAATTACGACAGAATTCAGTTATCCTGTCGCAAGTGTCTTCAAACCATCAGTTAGTAAAACGTCTGTTGATCCGACTACCATATCACATTATGGTCTGTCCGTCGCTTAACTATGTTTGTAGGCGAATGTTCGAACGTCTTGTGTTGTATTCCCGCGTTTATTGGACCACGGCTTTACTTACCTTGATGATAGTGACGAACTCCTTGAAACTAGAAATAAAGGGATGACCTAACAAGCAAAATTTTGATGTTACACTTCCGGTGGATTTCAAAACGTTTCCTCGACGAGGATAGGTGACTAAATCTGCCGCGTTTTCCCCAGGGGATCATGGGAGTGTGTCCGTATACACGTACTCCAAGTAGTTATTGTGAGTGCATGCTTTGACCTTTAACTTCGTCCAGAATAGATGCTGTGTGGCCAGCAAGCATGCGCAACCTTGTTATCCTGTTTCGTGACCGTCTACCCCCCTAATCTTGGGTGTCACGGCGCTTAACTGAACTGGAAGTACAAGCACCAAATATGATAGATTGTCACGAAGATGTATTTACACAATAGCAACGAAACCGCAACTGTTAAGACACTTACTGGTACTTGCCGCATCGTCGTGCGTCGTTTCAACTTTATCACCGTCAGTCGGAAGTTCAACAGGGCCGTCTCGTCGAATGATGTGTAGAGCGCATCCAAGGCCACACCATCGACCGAGGCAAGTCCTTTTCGACCAAGAATAGTTCGCTACTCTGGTAGAAGACAATTTGTTTGTAGCGCCAACGATCTGAACTGTTTAAATTGCTAGCATTCAATGTACAGGGCGTTCCCCCTCCTTGAGATTAAGTGAAGTGTGTTCTACCTTTCGTTTCAATGGGCAGAAATTCCGGGGTGCTAAAATTATTCCTCTGATGGGTGGGTCTCTTTTCTAGCCGAGCTATTGGGCAAGTCCCGCTCTTCCAAGCAAGCAAATCTCCACTGACACTACGAATTTGACAAACGAAAATTTGACCACGTTATTTTCTATCACTTTTCAGGAGTCCATCTTCAGAAACAATGATATCCAACCCCACTCCACATTTCTCACATTGTTCCAGTTCTTCATTTATGCCATACTCTCCTATTCTGAACTATGGTTCCAAGAAATCTCCCTAAAAAGGTACCGAGTTGTTGGTGATATTGTACCGTCCAGATCTTTTTCCAGAGGACTTTTCCGCCTCTATTTTCTATTGGCCCTTCTGACTGTCGGCACGATCGCGTTTTCCAACGCGTCAATCACTTATCTGAACTACCCGACCCAAGTTATTTTCAAGTCCTGCAAAATGATTCCAGTTCTCATTGGGGGTGTCCTACTTCAGCGTAAGTTTCTCTCCGATGTCTGTTAACCTTTACTCTGCATTTTTAGGAAAGAGTTACAGTGCACTGGAGGTTACGGCAGTTCTAGTGATGACTGTCGGGTTAATTTCATTCACGCTGGTCGATGTTTCAGTCCAGCCATCCTTCACCTTCTTTGGTAAGCCATTTCTTCGTTCCCGATTGTTGTCCATTCATGCGTAGTGTAGTCTGGACTTGATATCCCATTTGAGGGTTCAAATCGGGCTAGCAGGTCGGCTCAGTCAGCCTATCAATGCTTGGTACCGCAGCTTGAAAAAATTATTAAGAAATCACTCAGCTGTAACACCCTTTCGGTGCCTAACTGTCATGCCGCCGGAAGGAAGCACGAGGCCTGGGATACTGCCAGGTTGCCCAAGCCTAGACAGAGGCAGATGTGGGTTCGAACCACGGGCCTTCCGGCCAGTAAATTCGCGCTCTAACCACTTAGGCAATCTAGCCCACAGAAAAAAGTATAGTTTAAGCTTGCTGCCATACAAATGGACGATTCTGTTGGGTTTCTCGGGCCTATGCAAAGAAATTGAACTTCACACTTTCTAAACAGCAGCTTTATGGCTTAATTTGTTATGGGCCGTTGGATACCAAAAACCCATTTTCAGGTTCCCTGTACGTATGCGTAAATAGCAAGCCAGAAGCAGGGTGAGGTGGCTTAGTAGTTAGAACGCGAATTTATTGACTGGAAGGTCCGTGGTTTGAACTCGACTTCCTCTGTCTAGACCTGGGCAACCTGGCACTATCCCAGCCCACATGCTTCCTTCTGGTGGTATGGCAGTTGCGCACTGAAAGAGCGCTAAAGCTGAACGATTTTTTCATATTTTTGACTTGTATTGGAATCAGTCTCATCGTGTTACTTCAGTTAGATTTTGAGCGACAGAGAAGTAAACTGTCACACTGTACACCCGACGTTTTCCTTTGTGTTGAAAAACGGGATAACTAAACAATTCAGTTTTCAAGGATGTGCCAAAGGTTCATTCTGTTTAGATATTCAAGGCGTTTTGCCCACTGATAACTCCTGGTTCAGCAAGCCACAGTACTCTACGGTCCGAACGGTTCCAGTTCTATTTTGGCACGAGAAGATCGTTCTGATTCACTTTACCAACCTCTTTGTAAGCTAATGTGTTATTGGCATCGTAAATTCCAGTAGTTAGTCCATTTTAGCCAAATTTGAAAGAATTCTTTTTTGTTCATATGGCTTTTGATTCAGTTGGTTAACTCGCTATCTGAGTTTTGCCTGATGATGCTCCCGAGTTTTGAGTACCTTTGAACCGATAATAACTTGGCAGTAAAGTTGTTCATCATTTCGTGAGGACAGAAGGGGTTATGAAGTTCATTTCCTTCATCTGTCGAGGTCTAATTAACATAATTGCGAGCAGTTAGCTCGGTTCACAAGTAACTGAGAGTGGACTATGAGCTTAGAGCTATCGGTACATCATTCTTAGCCAATATACCAGAAAAAATATCGTTTAGCTGTAAAGCCCTTTCGGTGTCTAACTGTCATGCCACCAAAAGGACGTACGAAGGCTGGAATACTGCCAGGTTACCCAAGCCTGTTTCGTTACTGAAGTAGCTGTTACCTTGCTCTTACACATTAATCACAACACGGCGTCTGTTTCACTTTTACAGGCGTCTCATAAGAGATTAAATCAAGTTACCTGGAAACAGTCACAACTAAGGTGCCAGATGTCTTGGGCGTCGCTATATTTAGGTCGCGATCCAACGCCTACGCCTTTGAGGTTACGTACAAACGATCAGTACGGTTTCAATATTTGGTAATAAGTTCGATCTAACTCCAGCCAGTGTAGTTAGCCAAAATCAGTTCACATAATGTGAACAACTTTTGGTTGAATACAATTAATGTATGTATCGTCGTTCAGTCTCCAGTGAATCCCGTCATGCTTTGATAGGGTGCCACGGTTAGAATTCATCCACAGCACTCATCTGAAAAATGTCATCAAGATATGCCTAACTCATTCACAGCAGTTCCTATGTCAGCCATTTTTAGTAATGCAATTACATTATTTGGAAAGCAGTTTCAAGAAGAACGCACCACCAGAAATGAACGATACGAGTACCCTGTTCTTTTAATATGCAATTTAATCCATCACGTGATATCGCATTATAGGCCTGGATGGGAATAGCCGGCATTGAATCATAACTTCGGTGAACAGCCCTTATCGCGATGTGAGCCTTCCTAAATAACCGAACATCAGGTCGATTGGACGGTCGTTTCGCGAGCCGGCTGCGAACCATACGAGGGCTTACCGGTTGGTCAGACTGAGCTAATCAAGATTTAGGATTTTAGCTCGGCCCTTTTCGCACCAACACAAAAATTCCAGCGTACCCTTTTTGGGAAACTCCGTGATAACCCTACAACTACAGTTGTGATGATTTTCGTTTGTCTTCTCAAGCTACCATGCCTTCTTATATAGACGAAGTACCATCTGCAGTACACGACTGCGTTTGATTCATATGTCCTTTAAGGTTGCCTAATTAATATATATTTGCTAATGCTATTAGTTTTCATCACTGTATCTTTTGTTGTGTACCACTGACACTAATTCTCATCGACACCGATGCATTTTTTGCACTCCTGCACTGACCATATTGATCCGCATTTCCTATGGATTGGTTATGCTGAGTTGATGCCGTTCTTGTCGGGCAGGTGACATGGTTTCGTGTGCATACTAGTACATAACTCACTCCCACTATATTATCGGAATATATTTGGTTTCTCGTCACCTCTTTATCTCCTCTTCGCTCCAGGCTTGGTTCTCGTATCCCTCGCTCTCTGTTGTGATGGCGCGTTGGGTAACTATCAGGAATTGGTTATGCGAAAACTGAGGTGTTGTAACACGGAACTTGTGAGTGTTGTTGAATTTGTTTGTATAAGTAATGCAAAAAGGTGGACATGTTTCTCAACCATAGAGACTGATTTTCGCTTCGCGTACCTTCCGGAGCGCCCCATCATTCCTGTTAGACCCCACTGGTTCTTGTCAACACAACCCATCGTTTACCGTGCTACTGCGCAGTGGAGACTAATCAGCATACAACGCACATGTAATTAGAGCGTACGCAGATCATCTGTTCCTCAGGAAAAGGCAGACAGCACAAAAATGGATCAATAATTCGAGCCAATTAGGTTACTGCATCAACCTTGAACCGTACAAATCACCGTAATTGGCAGGATCCATTTGAAGGAAACTCAGATAATCTCCACTCAAGGTAGTATTCATTGTAGACTAGCTCCTCAACTAAAAGCCTGACCTGTACCAGAATCCTATACAATCTGACTGTTTTTCTCAATTGGTTTTAGTAACGATACTCGACTCACAGTGAAGTGTTTCCAACGCAAAGACAATTTGTCTGTTTTTTTGGGCCACACCTAGAGATGGATGGTATCCACAACGCACCGAGTTTCCGATCAGGGCTAGACTTTAGTCCTACTCTCCACCAATGGTCGGCTGCAATTATCTGGTAGTCGCATGGTGGTACACGATCCTCACGTGAGTAGAAAACAAAATGTAAGAAAGTCCCGGCCAAACCTGCCGCTCAACCTCTTGCCGTTGTTGGGGCACATCAGTTTCTTGTAGAAAGACTGGTCCTCAGCCCCTTGGTTGGCGCTCATCACCGTCATTATCACGCCTTCTTCGAATTGGACTGCACAGCTAATAAAGCACCAAGCCGAGCTTTTCTAAATCGGACTGTATCTCGTCCAACGATATTTGCTTGAGCTGAGTACTTCATAACTGTCAGTGACTGGTTATTATATGCAGTGGCCATTCACCGGTAGTCGTGTTTTCTGACTAAGCCAACGGATGCTTAAGTACAAAGCCATCCCGTCCTTTGGTATGCCTTTTGCACCCACAAAGTATAAGGTCATGCTCGTGGACGTGCAGTCACTGAGCACGCCACTTGCAATCCAGGGAGAGGTACTGGGAGTTGTGGAGCGTTTTACGTATCTTGAAAGATGTATTAGTTTTGATTGTAGTGTGACAGATGAGGTGAATGCACAAATCTGCAAGGCTCGGGCCACGTTTGCTAATTTGATACACCTATGGTGCCAGAATGGTTTATGCCTGAATCTTAAGGTACATGTGTATCAAGCTACAGTACGGGCTGTTTTGTTGTGTGGATGCGAGACTAGGTCTATTCGAGCATCAGAACTGAGACTTCTTCAGGTGTTCGACAATCGTTGTCTCAGAACCATAGCTCGTTTGAGTTGGTGTCGGCGAATTCATAACGAGGCAGTTAGGAAGCGCGTTTTCGGTTGTGCAACGGGTACCTACATGGAATAATGTGTCCAGCACCAGGAACTGCGTTGGTTGAGACATGTGTTGCGTATGCCGAACCATCGTTTGCCGAAAAGAGTACTGTTTTCCATACCCAACTCAGAGTGGCGTAAGCACAGAGGTATCCAACCCTTGACTTGGCGGAGAAGTATGAAGGAGATCACGAAACGCTTGGGTGCTGTCGGTGCTACTCGCCTTCCAGGANCCGCGTGATCCTCACTTTGCCTGGTTGAAGACACTACAAGATATGGTTGCCAACCGATGTCAGTGGCGTTCTTGTTGTCAGTTTCTATCCAGATCGCCTGAGTAAGTGTCTGGAGGTCTATGCACCTCAGAATGATTGTGTAGGTTAGCACTAAGTCCCTTCCCTGTCCAGCTTTACTCTTTACAATAAGACTTTACATAAATCATGGTTGTACGGCAGTAAAGCATCGGTGTTGAACACTGATGTCATGCTGTCGATGATGATGATGATGATGCTTAAGCACTTTTCTTGGTGAGCAAAGAGCCAACTTATGCCATGTTGCTATGGTAGGATAGCCCTTTGTTGGAAACTCGACTGCCGGATGAAGGTTTGTCATGATAATCGTATGCTGTCTGCCCATCTGATGTCTCACTTCTCAAGCGTAGTTTTGCTCCATCCTGTGCAATGAGCTAAATACTTGGACGCTGTCTTGCGGCTCATTTTTCAGGAACATTGTTAGAAATAAAATCGACTTTTCTATCTTTTGAGACTATGTTTGATTAAGCCGAAGCGTATCGTGTTCAGTTGATACATGGTAACACCGCCGGCGGATTCGCTTTTTTCTCCAAATAAATCAATCCACTTGCACTGGTGTACCATTCCATGGGCGATGTTCTGCGTCACAATCACACTGTGTTTACCTTCGTGCTACGCCGTGCACGCGTCCAATTTCATCTGAGCATTTTTCCATCCACCCTAGCTTTTCTATTCATATACAATCGGATTCGTTGTACTATTGTGTGGAATACTGTTGAGTGGACAATTCTTGCCGTCGGTGCGATATTTTATCGAGGTAAGCTTATTGTCAACATCTGCTGGCTCACAGGACATTTTCGATCCGTTTTTTTTGTGCCTAACTTTTATTTTCACGCTTTGTAATTTGGGTCTAACCTGAGCGTGCAAACTATGGTAACGATGGCCCTTCTCCTTTTGCGATCGACGTTGATTGTGTTTCGTGCACTGATACCTGATTGACGATATAGCACCCTGTTGTGGGTGCCAAATTTTAAATATCTGAAGTACACCAGTTGTAGTACAGCGTGTTTTACACATTAGAATTTCGATCACAGTTCAATGCTTACTCCTGTGATTTTAGATACAGACGTCATGTAGGGTAGCAGAGACTGGTATTAGGGTCGATAAACTGCGTTTGTTCTTGTTCCTGAATATGGAAACCAAGAACTCAGTTTCTTAGCGAAGTACATTCATTTGCAAACTCATTTGGTTTTGCGAGAGACTCACCTGGAACCCAGCTGAATTTCTCGTTTGTGATGTTTCCAGGCAACTGATTGTGCTACCACCTCATGTTTCAGTCGCTACGATATTCGAGATATTGTAGAACTTAAGGTTGCCGGAAACTCGGGGACTGCCTACCTGATGAGCCCCAAGAAGGGCGAAACCGGGCGTGGTCTATCGACGAATTTTCAGCAGCCTTATGAGTAGTGCATTAACTCAGTTTCTTGTGTTTAGAAGTGCTTATGTGAGTTGAACTGTCGGGTTGATACACTGTTTCGCACCGGTCTCGGTATTAACCATTTTATGTGATTTTCCAGCCGTACACGAACCCACCGAGCACTTTGTCATGGATTCGTGTGTGGCACAATCATCACACACACATGTGTCAGTAAACTTTTAGTAAACAAACTTATCTCCTTCGTTTGCTTGTCGCCCAAACAGCATCCTGTCAAAATATTCGGTCATGGAGTTATTTTTTCGATTTGTGGCTACTTTGGATTGCATTTCGTCCTATGCCTGGTTCAGTCACACGGAGCACTGACAGCCGTAACCGGTAAGCTCTTTCGGCACAAGCGAAATCCGCATACCTTGCCATTTACTGCAACCCCCTTCAAAAAGCTAGAATTCGTTTGATGAAATAGCGTTTTAGTTTACACTGTCAAACAAGGTTGATGATTGCCTTGGAATACCACCCTTCTGGTACCCCTTCTTCGGGAGTATGAGACAATATCGAAGTTTTACAAATACTGGACAACTACACTGGTTTTGCAGTTCGGGAAACCCGTACGGAGTTCTTCCAAGTTTGTCACTGTTGTGGATGAGTGGCCCATAAAAGCACACTTTTTGCAACTGATTTTTTTCGGTTCGTCCTGAGTGATTGCTTCCAATGACCCAATCCACTGAAAACCATCCGCGTAGCATGCTGAATCCGCATAATTGTCAACAGGCCCTGTTCTCTGGATAACGTCTGTACCACTAGGCTTGACTCTAGTGAGCAGGACAGCACACCAATTTATCACGAACATGGGTTCGGATAAAACCACCAAAACAGCAGCAATTTTTGAACACTCGATGATTCTCGTGCTATGGCGCACTGCTTTATCTCGGGTCTCAACATTTTGACGAGTTTCGTTGTATGGCACCGTTGGGAGCGTACCTCCGGTTTATTTTTTTGTCAACCCATTGTTCAGATTTAGCACCCTTTCGATGCTTAACTGCCATGCCACCCAAAGGTTGCACGGGGATACTGCCAGTTGCCCAGGCCTAGACAGGAGATGTCGAGAGGCAGAAGTCAGGTTCGAATCACGGGCTTTCCGGTCAGTAAATTCGCTCTCTAACCACTTGGGCCATCTCGCCCTTTGTCAACCCAACAAGGTCGGAAACAGCTCTTCGATGTTGTCGGATAGTTTATCCACAGCGCCTATACATCGTCCGTTGTGCCCCATTGTGAGGTTCATCACATGAGAGCCAATCTCTCATTTCGGTTCTAGAAGCAACTGCCATGGGAGAAAATCCATTCTGCCCAATCGCATCTTTTGGTGAGCCATCGAAAAAACTAATGTGCGGTGAAGTATCATTGTTGAACATTGATGATGATGATGATGAATGACTAGAAACAAAATTTACAGACACTTGTACAACAGCTGTACATTTTTCATCATACCAGTAGCTCAGAATCGGACCGATATGTTCTTACGATGCTTTACCTATGATACCTATGACGAACAACGAATCCCTGTATTTGATATATATTGATTTCCCTTTATCCGTTTTGTTACAAATCATATAGTGATTAATCGACACTTATGTCCACGGCAAAACCGATCTATCTGGGTTCGCGACAAGCGATTTAGGCAAGCCACAGACCTTACCTTAACAATCCGTTCACGCTAGTGTCACGTGACGTGAACTCCGTACGCCTGGCTGCTGCTAGCTGTTACTTAAACCTGCGTAACCAAATCCAATAGACCTTGACCCTGAACATGCGCACCAGTTAATCTCAGTGTCTTGTTTGTCGTGCCTGCCTCTCAACTGTTCTGCCTAAATGGCTTTTCTTACGACAAGTATGACTGAAATACTTAAATTCCGCACTCTCCGTTTTACCGAAATTCTACTATTGTAAGGACAGAAATCGTTCAGCTGTAACACCCTTTCAGTGCCTAACTGCAATGCCACACGAAGGAGGCACGAGGGCTGGGATACTGCCAAGTTGCCCAAGCCTAGACAGGGTTAGTCGACAGGCGGAGTTCGGATTCGAACCACGGACCTCCCGGTCTGTAAATTCGCGCTCTAACCACTTGAGCCATCTCGCAATGGTGTGTGTATCTCAGTAACCCATTGAGCTCTACAAGCGGATGCCCAGTCAACGTCTACTGAGCCTTTCCTGTCAGGTTGATAGTGAATAGAGCTCTGACAAACAGTTTTTATGGGGGGTTGGAAGACGTGTGGCAATTCGCTGCTTAAAATGTTGACCATTCCGGTAACCTTACGCCAACAGCTGCTGTCTTACGATCAGGCTTTTCAACCAAATGCAGGCACCTCAATCCGGGAAAACATCCAACATCATCGACTACGATGGCTCGGTCATGTGCTACGCATGCCGAAACACCGTCTACCGAGACGAGTGTTGTTCTCCTGCCTCCTTCAGGATGGCGCAAACCGCGAGGTGGACAGCACATGACTTGGCAAAAAGGCGTGAAAGAGATCACGAAGAGTTTGAGTGTTGTTGGTGTTGTGCGGCTTCCAGGATGGGGTTCCCGTGACCCCGTCTGTGCTTGGCTGGAGACGTTGCAAGCTAATCAATGTTGCGGCTAATCAATGTCAGTGGCGTTCGTGCTGTCAGTTTCTTTCCAGATTGTCTGATTGAGCGGTTGGAGGTGTAGGCACCTCAGTATGCTTGACATAGGCCAGCACTAGGTCCCAACCCTGGTCGTTCTCCGGGATAGGTGTAGGCTTGCAGGCATATCACACCGGCCGACGTATTGTAAAGTCAACCGCTTCGCCTTATTCGCTGCATACACTAGGGCGATTACGTGGAAGCATGTGACTGCTAACCCCTCCCATCTTTCTTCATTTTTACCTCTCCTGGTCGTCACTCCCAACTGTAGGCACGTTAAGACATCGCACGCCACCGCCCATATTTACAGCTCCGCACCCGTTTTCGGGCATCTTCTGTCTTTACTGCAACCCCTAAAGTTCGGACTCTTAGACCATCTAACAAGCTGCCCCTCCACGACTAATACCTGTCACATCTCTGAAACTCGCAGTTTCTGAGCTAACGACACCCCTATCTTTTTGCTACCGGCTACGAACTTCGAGTGATCTGCAGCTGTTGCAACGGGTTGTCGGTATAGCCCTCATTTCGCGAGCGGGTGCTTCACTACTCGATGAAACACAGCCAATTCTGCGCCTTCCGACTTTCCACTTCGATAAAAACTCGCACTGGTCGAATTGCCAAACGTTATTTGTTGTGTCTGTTTATATGTCAACAGACCGTAGCTCTGCTTCATTCAAAGACGCATTCTGTGGGGAACTTACCAACCCATGTCCGCTGAGAAAAGCTCGGATATAATCATGATAGTGAGGAGTTTCAGTACATGGTTAAGACGCTTCAGTTCCTCAGCGACCCGTTAACGGTCTCTATTGTCTGGACGCGAAACGCAGCGATAATGCAACTTTGTGATGATCATAAGCTGCCTACTCAGCAGCACTGAGTTTTGGCTCGGAGGACGTCACTGTGCACCTGGCATCCTACCGGCCTTGGAGTCCAATTGATCACATCGCCATCGGCCACCGACTACAGTTGGTGGCTACCGGTCGTTTCGGTATACACAAGTTGCTAAATTTCCCGCTGTCTTTTGATGCACATTTTCATCAAGTTTCTTCGCTACACCGCGGGACCGAGCTCCTCAGTTAGCAGTAAAGAAACTTTGTGAGCTGCATGTCAGGGAGACATACTAGAGAACATTGAACGTAGCTGGGCTACGGCTATATGTGACACCGACAACTATATTTGTGATGTTCTCCAGCACATGTACGGAAGCCACTGGATCTCTCTGACGGGAGTCGCTCTACCCTCTTTTGCTCAGTACAATTCGTGTAGACGATGTTTCAAACGTGTGGCCAGAGAGTCGCGTGAACCACAAAGTTCAAAAAATGGAATAGGTCAGTGCGTTTGAGAATGCAGGGAGTCTGTTCCGGCTAACCGAAAAGTCGGTTCTAGTAAGCACTCTACGAGTCTAAATTATTCTTTGAAGCCTAATATTTAATGAAGATCACGATTGTGACCGGTGGGTGGAACATTTCAAAGGAGCCCTCTACTTTTTAGCCCGTCTTTCAAACCGTGTTATGTGAGCTTGAATCTTCCGATAGTTTCTGAATTACTAGTATGTCTTTCTGCAATGAAGCGCGAGTGATCTGTTGAACTAGATGAGATCCACCAATCGCTTTCCAAACGTAGATGGAAATCTTTTTGTTCTGTCGTGATCAGATTGTTCATTCATGTTTGGGAACAAAATGAATCGGGGCAAATCGATGATGGTGCACGTTCTCAGCTGGCTATTCCAACCAGGCCTATCGTTCCCCGGCTACTGCCTCTTCTTACTTTGCGACACCTACATTCAGCAAAGAGACGCAAACCTGAGAGTGTCAAGTAGGATTTCAGCCTAGTGAGATGTAAACCATACCCTTACATTACATCAAACTTTTGAGTAATGCCACACGTACCGCCGACCCACGTGCCATTTATTCCCATATCTTCATTTGGGTTAGCATGTACAGTGTACTGTCTACAGACTTCCTGATATCTGGTGCAGTTCATCGGGGTTGTCCCATCTCTACTTTCTTTCGATTTTGTCGTCAACGTGGAGTGCGAATTTGAAGCGACCTTGAACTTTAGATACCGAGGTTATATCTGGAGGGAAATTAATTAACTTGGATTATACTGTTGTTTGACATCCCCTGCTTCTGTGTGGTTTTCCTGTTTACCTTTTTTTCAACAGACCGGCTCTTAATGTGCATTCCGCAATATTTTCTACCATTCCCTCCATCTCCCGTCTAGTCACCACATTCCGGAAAGCAGTCACGATGATTCTTTCCTTCATTTTATTTGACAAGCCATTTGCAATGGGGTAAGTTTTTTTAGACCAACCCACTCTAACCCTCTCCACAGGGTGGGTGTTTTTTCCTTCAGAACGTCACACTTGAAATAGCAATATTCGTTGGACAACTTAGTGACTTCTTAGTTTGACTTGCCCAATAAGAACATCTTTAGTGCAGAGATGGATTGCTTGTCGGAAGGGTTGTGTATTCTTCAGAGGCAGTCAACGTCCATCGAAGAAGTTCGTCACAACAAGATTCCTCAGCATGACTTATTCCCTCAGTACTCTAAAAAAATTCGCCTTTTGTTCGAAGCCTCTTTTCTTCGGTGAGTGTCACTGCCGTCTCCACTACGGTACTGCGTTAAGCCTGTTCTGATATATCTGTGCACCATGAAACAGTCAATCGCGTTTGGAGAACAGAAAAAGCAAGACACCTAGTTACATGGGAATCTGTTGGAAACACATGGAGCAGCGTCTCTAACACCGAATGGTGGTGAACGCGCTCCAAACCACACCATACTCGTCGATCTCGCCTGCATGTATTGATCCGTTGGTGATCGTCCACGGAGTTCACCCTCAAGTGGCCAATGAATTAACTGTCTCAAACGGACCACAAGCATTCAAGGCAAGAGTGGCGTTGTAGTGGTATAGAAAATTTGACAGAATCAGAAGAACGGGGAAAATGTCAGACTGGAACCTCCGTGCGTTAGTGTTAAGCGTGCGACGAACGTGTACCCATCCAAACACCATGCTACATCACCAATGCGCCTAATCTATTGTCGGCTTCTGGTTTAGTGTTGTTTAGTACCGAAGCTCAGTTACTACTGAATTCTATGAATGCGCTGATAAGTACTTCTTTATGACAGTGGAAAACTCACCAAAACTGACTTCTTTAGTGAATATGTCAGACTTTCTTGGAGAAATACACTCATTTGCAAATCAATTTGGTTATCACGAGAGACTCAACTGAATCTCTCGTTTATGACTCAGTTGGCACGATATTCGAGATACCGCAGTATATTTTCATAGAGGAAACTACTCACAAGGTTGCTGAAAACTCTTCGACAGCCCACGACCGGTTTCACCCTTCTTGGGGTGGTGCAGTCCCAAGTTTCCATCAACCTTATGTGAGCTGTCGAAGAGTAGTTTCCTTTATGAAAATATACTGCGGTATCTCGAATATCGTGCCAACTGAAGCATGAGGCGGCCTGTGTGCAGCACATTCAGTTGTAGAATATCACAAACAAGAGATTCAGTCGACTCGCTCGTGAAAACCGAATAGATTTGCAAATGAGTGTATTTCTCGAAAACAGTGCAATTTGGGTTCAAGTAGAACATAAGGTTGACGGAAACTCGGGGACCGCGCCTACCTGATGAGCCCGGAACAGAAGGGCGAAACCGGTCGTGGGCTGTCGCAGAGTTTTCAGCAACCTTGTGAGTAGTTTCCTTTACATCAGACTTTCTTTTACGTATTTCACTCAGCCATCTTGATGGATAGAATCCGTAGCATTAGGCTGTGCATTCTTGAAAGTGGAGTCTTGGTTGTTTGTCAGTTTTGAAGGGACTTAATTCTGAATTACTTCAAATTCTTGCGGATCCCGTGGATGGCCTAAGATGGTTTAGCATCAGTGCTTCACAGTGAACAAAGGCGGGATTCAAACAACTTCTACTTGGTTTTAAGTTTCAGTGGAAATCCGACTTTTGGTGAATGGTAATTGCTCCTCAATCTTTTACAATTCTCACGTAGGACCTGATAGCTGGCAGGCCGTGGGTTAAGTTTTTGCCTTTTTTTTCCAGGACAGATCACCTCTGCTTTATAACAAAGACAAGCTGTTCTTGCTCCTCGAAATTGAGATTCCTTATACATCACACCCAGATTGGTGCTTGTCAGTCAAGTGTAATCTGTAGACAGTCTCGAACATGGTATCCGTAGTGTGTTAACAAACACGCTGTCTTCCTGCAATGGGAACTACTTTTCCTCTTGTGCCAGTTATCTTTCAGATTGTTCTGCCAGCAATGGTGCTGGCGTTTTTAGGACCAGACGACCATAAATTACTTGATCTATTAGAATCGTCGATTGTTTCGTCCGGAAGAGCGCACTACACACTTGTTATAGCGCCTTTGACGTTTTTTGTCCATCGATTACTTGTGAACGATCGTTTGGCCCGCCCTCAGCGTTTGATCAACTTCTGTGGTGCGTCGATTGCACCCGGATGAATGTCCTATCGGGGTCTAATTCATTGAGTTTGTCTGGCAATTCTGTGGAGGAAGAAGCAGGATGTGTTCCAACAATCGGTGCACAGTCGCACTGAGGTCACGTACTGCTCTTCCTTAGCATAATTGTTGGAATCGCTGTGTTGATTAGCCAATCATGCCCTCATTTGTGTGGCTTGTCATCAGTGTATCTTATCTGTTTTTGATTAGGGTTACGTCGATAAACTCATGAATTATAGCTCTTCAGTGAGATCTTTTTGTCATTTTATGTTCAAACTAAGACGCATAGCTTCAGAGGGGTTTGGTAACCAAACCCCTCTGAAACGATGACTTACCAATCGGTCCCAAACATTTTCCAATTGATTTAAAACGAATAGCCTTTTGTTTCGGTAAGGGTGTTTATTCGGTAGTGACTAGTTGTTTTCTGTCTCTTCTGGTCGTTAGTTTCTCCTACCTTCCAGTCCTTCTTGTCATCACAGAGCTCCTAGAAGTTGACGAAACATCATCCCCCTGGATTGCTGAACATTCAGTTTCAGTTGGTTAGAAACATCACCTGTTTCGAGTAACGGGATGGCGATCAAGTCAGCTGAGCATATCGGGAAATACACACGTTCCGTCGATAAAAGTCAGAATGGGTCACTTGGAACTTTAGTTTTACTGATTGCTGCCTAAGTGGCATGGATCAGAGAATAGAACATTAAGCCATCAGGCCTTGATAAAGAAGTTCATTGAAGATAATATTGTTAGCTCGGACTGCAATGGTTACTGTGTGGTTAACCATTGGTGAGTTGAGTCATGGGGTCCCCATCGAGGGAGATGGCAGTTGTCGACCCGATTAGGTATTTTCCCAATTCGTTGCCTGGTCATACACTGTCTACCCCTCAGTCGCTTACACTCAGCACAGGGCTGGGCGAAAAGAGCTCTGCGAGGCAGACGGTTTTCTGGCGTGCAGCCTGAGTAATTCATCCATCACTGGAGTGTTCCTTCATCTTAAGACCAACTGGCGTACCTTAGGATTACTGATGCAATATTCTCACCAGACCCGACCATCAATGGTCAAACACTGCTTTCTTCCATATGTCCTCTGCGCGCAGGGCTAGCGTTGGTTGACCTGTCTTCTTATTGGTGGATGTCTTTAGCTTGGACCTCTCCGGTTACCCCACCCGACTCAGCGTTACCATTGGGTTTGAGGCAAGGACTGTCAACCCAATGATAACACTGAGTCACTGGGGGGGGGTTAACCGGAGAGGTCAGTTGTCAAGGCTGGCCGGGCATTCATTACTAAGAAGACAGGTCAACCAGTGGATCAATAGGAATGCTCACCTTAACCACCAATGTTCGGTGAAGGTCGGCACGCACACCAACCACACACTTCTGCTCACGACGCACTGAGGCTGTCACCTCGATTGGTGGTAAAACGTTTGCAACCAATTAGCCCAGCTCAGCGAACAAATCAACGCCCAATTTCCTTCACTTTCTGCCCACACGTAACGCCCAGACTCCAAGCAGTACGTGAACACGGCTGACTGATTACACCAGATGAAGGTATCCATGGGTTTCGAACCCTCATCAAATTTCAGTGACTAAAGTACTGGATGCGCTACGTGTTTTACGCCACCGAAAACCAATTTTTAAGTCCAACATGGTCAAAGAGAAAAGCAGCGGCTTTGTGGTCACCACGACAAGTTGACAGTTCATGATCAGTGTATTTGTGATGTCATGAAAACCATTTTTTATCGCCAGATAGGGCAAAGATATCTTGGCAGCAGTAAGTCAGTGATCGAGTACGCAGGTATCGCGTTCTCTTAGTTTGCTTCGTCAACTTCAACGACTCTCAATGGGCAACGAAAGAACTCACTCCTTTTTTGGGCTGCAAGTCCCGTTGTTCTCTTAGATGACCTCAAATTGTCGTTCCTGTTTGAATCACGTGGATCAATTAGCCGAAACAATTCCGGACCCATCCACGCTTGCCTAACAAGGTAATTTTATCTTTCTTTTGCAGTTACGTCTGGTCAGCACTCCTCGTCGTATTTGGCCTGTACTTGAACCTGTACAGCAAGCACCGCCAGTCGTGGGACAATTATGTACGCCAACAACTGTATAGGTTTGGCATAATCAAGTGCCCGTTGCCTGCTGTCCTACCCTTGTGATACCTAGTTCTCTTTCAATCGTTCTGTCCCCACTGCTATCCCACTATATCCCACCATTGTTGCACACTACATCTGTGATGTCGGTTAACAATTCAGGTGACTAGTTTCTACCTTTGTTCTCTTATTGCTTTTGTTGATCATCTTCTTGCGAGATGTAAGTTATTACAAACATTATTGCCACAGTTGTCAGCCTTTGAACTCTTTCTTGTCACTGTCAGACGTACCGGACCTAAGCATTTAGCTCTGATTGCTCTAATTTCTGGTTGCGAATGTTCCTATTTGAAGAGTGAACGATGTCTCTTAGTTCCATGTTTTTTTTAGTTGAGATTTCATTGAAATCCTCTGGAAGAGAACAGGAAGAACCTTCGGGACATATGTCTTCAAATTATCGGCTGAGACAAATAAGCTGGGGTCTACCTGACAGGATTAATGCGTATTGTGGCTTCTTCCTTATAGAGTGCGAACCACACCGTTTTCACTGAACCCAATCAAGGTTCAGTCCCCCGGAAAAAAGTCGTTCAGCTGTAGCACCCTTTCGGTGTCTAACTCCCATGCCACCCGAAGGTTGCACGAAGGCTGGGATACTGCCAGGTCGCCCAAGCCTAGACAGGGGGGAGTCGAGAGGCAGAGGTCGGGTTGGAACCACGGAGGTCTTGGTGGCGTCGAAGTCACTCCTTGGTACTGGTATCAGTGAGCTGGCGTCATGTGGTACGTTTACCGCAAAAGATACGGGTCATTATCGCGTAAAGTCCAGGGGATTTTGGTAACCCGTGTCACGAAGGTGAGCGTCTGTGTTGTGTTACTTCCTTCTCAGTAGTGCTGATAGTAGTGTCCTTGGGAAACCGTTGTTAGCCGTACCGGTAGATTCACCCTAGCCGACAGAACTCTATGTTCCATCCTCTTGTTTGGTTGACACAGAGTTCTCATCTGTCGTCTGTTGCCGCCCGAGGTTCTGCTAGTTTAGTCTAGGCGAGTGTTGGTCTCGCTGGCACAGGTGAAAATTCCTGCTAGCGTCCTCGAGTTCCCATTGTTTTGATGGCAGTTCGTTTGAGGTCAAACATTGGTTTGTACCTGCGAGCTTCCGCTGCTCAGTTTTTGGCGCCAACTGTTTGTCGAGCATCCGCGTTTTCACTTGAACAAAAACGATTGCCGCAAAACTGTTTGGTCCTCTTCGACTGTCCGATGCGTTCATGAGGAAAAACGGGGGGAGGTGGTTTTGTTTTATCTGACCGTATATTCCGTTGGTTTGTATTTCAAGAATCTTGGCATATTTATGGACTAGGTACTTTTGAGTCGCAGCCAGCGAAATCTTATTTTTCTCACAACCTTGTGATGTGAAATTTACTTGTCTTCTTAAGTTTTATGGAAAACACGGTTCGTAACGATTATGTCTTAAAATCGTGTTGACTGCATCCAAGAAGACTGTAGTTCCATTCCGGGTACTCTTTCGTCCTGATAGTTGCATGATATCGCTCGAGTGGTACTCCGTAGCCTGCAACTCAATGGTTTGAACTTCCCAGTTAGAATAACCTCTTCCTTAACTTCTTTGATATTTCGATTGTTTTTCTCGGAGCCCATGTTGAAGTCGTGTCCCCTAAAGACGTGCTTCCTAGGTTTGGTTTAATCCTGGATTTTGAAGGCATCTTATTCGGAAGCCTCCAGCGCGTTCATTTAAATGTAGGTTTTGTGCCGTTATGTTGTGTAATTCGCGTCCCGTCGTCTGCGATTCACCTACGTTTGACCTGTGTCAGGCGACATTTGATCTGCATGTCGTCACCGCTGTACTTTCTGTCTGCATGTGTAGAGTGTGGATCTAGAGTCAGTTCTTTTGAAGTGCACAAGCTTTCTGTTTCCGATATGGTTGGGATGGCCAACCCTATATATTCTTGCTGGTCAGCACTAGTGATACTGTCGGGATGTCACTGCTTCTAGTGGCTTCAACCACTGGTCACAGTATGACTGTCCTGTTGCGTTCATATACCCGCTATCCTTGCAGTAGCACGTGTGCTTCGCCCATCCCCTGTGGTTCTGGGCCTAGCCTATACCTCAGGAATTCCATCTTTGTGCAGCGTAAACCACTAGTAGCGTCGCTAAAATTGCGCTTCTGTTTGCTTCCATCCGGCGTGTCTCAAGTCCCAATGGACCGCTTGACAGTCTGCTGGAAGCAACTACGTAGGACGATGACATGAGTTTGACCATCCCGACTATCCACAGGTCAAAGAACTCGAGATACAATTCGCAGTTCCCCGAAGTGTGACCACAAACACTACGCCACCAGAGATCTCAAGGCCATCAGACGTCCAGAGGGTTTGGGGTTACCCTGATGGTATAGGCGATGAATCTGTTCAATATATGTATCCCTGGATTTTTCATTTTATTTTATTCGAATAGACAGTCATTCGAATAGACGGGATTAGCACACTAACAGACACCAGTTCCTGAACTGGTCTTTAAGACAAGGTATCGGTACTCGTATGTCTATTGTCAGAACAATAAATGCAACTAAAAGTATGATACTGAGTCCGCTCCTACCAGCTTGCAGCCCGACTATCGGGGTCGCGGAAATTCTCCAAGCTATGTAGTGAATGGTGGTCCATCCGGACATGGAATTGCCAGTCAGACAGGTAGGTAGGAATTGACGGAGAAAGTACACCAAGGCAAGCATTCCGCGTCGGGTAGTACAGCAGTTACTGTCACATCTAGAATGCGACTACCATTTGCGATGACAACTCCGGTCAGCAGCACCGTATCTAAGACAGGATCTCCCACACTCTGGGTATGCTGGGATAGGTGGAGATGTTATTGGTCGGTGAAAGCGGCTGAAAGCTTCATCACGTCCCATGGTCGAAGAAAATGTCAAATTCTTTCGGGTAAGCCTGTGAAGCGTTGCACTGACTGATGTAAGTCTGGGGGAACCTTAGGAGCCAAGGTCACCCGAAAGAGGAAATGTTGCCCGAAACAGCACTTTACGCCGTCGAAACTTGCATTTCTCCATACGAGGGGTTAGGCCAGCCTCTCTGAAAAAAAGCAGAGCTTCTTGTATTGCGTTATTTCACCCTTCTTCCGTGAACAGTGATGTTGTCTAGCGTCCAACCCTTCAAAAGCCGTGTAAGCGAGACAGTGAAATGTAGCTGGTGCCTTTGAAAGTCTGAGTGACGTTGTTTTAAATTCATGCAGGTCTGATGGCAATGGTCCTTTGGGTGGACCTAGACTTCCCAATACCCGGACACCAAATCCGAAATAGGGAATTACTCTGGATAGGATACTGCATCAATGGCATCGCCGACGCGTCGGGCCGGGAAAGAGTCACGTTCAGNCGCTTTAGTTTCTGTGGTCTACATATGTCCTCAGACTACCATCTTTGTTACCAGCATGACTGACGAGTGCCAAACTAGCATTTCGGAAATGTGTCCGATGGCGAATTGGAATGCTTCCGGTGTTACGTATTGGCTTGTGGCTGTGTGTATTAACTGCATATTTAACAACACTGTTTCTTTCCAGAGGAGGTCACCAGATATCCCATGCGGATTCCTTCCAAGTTCTATGGTGGGAAGCACAAAACGCATCATTTTATATCTCGACAGATGGTTGTTGGGATTACCAAACGTTGTCTCTCTAGGAAGTATGGGCGCCGTGCATTGTTAAGAAACCCATACACACAATTACGCTCTAATTTACTAGCGCGCAGAAGAAAATAAAATCCGCCACTAAATCAGACGAAACAAGCATTGTTCTCTTCGTGTCAAGCGATGGAATGGCATATCCATTGGCCGCCAAGATTTCGGGGCAGATACCGCAGTTATTTTTGGTTGTAATGAATCAATCAATACAAGAGAGCGGAAAGCTCCGGAGTCTGCCAAAATGCCCACCTCCTTTGAGTTCATTTGCTCTGTGGTAACGTGGTAGGGATATGACAGACAACAGACAGAGCCATAATGCCGGGCATTCCTCCCAAATCATGCACGGTAAAACCAACTTCGGGAGCGCACGATGCATACGCTGATGGTTCGTGGGCCCTACCATTGACCTTGTGAAGTCCGCAATGATGTCACAAGACTCCAAACCGGACTATCTCCATCACACAGTTGTTCGCAGGACCGGGCGACCTGGAATGCGTCTCACAAAGTGCGCTCAACCTTCCGACTGCACTGATGGGCCGTGGGTGTGTCAAAAAGTTCTGCAGCCCCTCCGGCTATGCCTTCGCTGCGAGGCCTCGTAAAGCGCCCGTATACTCATCTGCTGATTCACGGAAGTCTAGATTCTTTTTCAAAAAATGCTCTTGAAAGCAACCACTTGGCGGTGATGTGTCGATCAGGGGGGCACAAGTGAGTCCAGAGGGTGTTTGGTGGTGAAGACAGTGGAAAGCCCGAAAGGATGACGCTGCGCGCGCGGCAGCCATTTGGACGGGACAGGATAAATCTTCCATGTCGCTCCGGAGGTACATGTGTTAGGACTACCCTTATACAAAACAACCACTGAGCAAAGTAGTCACCATGGAGAAACGTCGCCGGTGGTCTTAGAGCATGTTGAATTCAAGGCACATCTAGTTGTCAAAAGTCAACGGCCTTTGCCGTTGGGTGGCCCACTGACGTATCTCGTTGGGGTTGATAGACATATTGCGTAGGTATCTACAACCTAATACTGGATTCCACCTCTGCTACCAAATGTAGCGTGGTTAGTCGGGAAATTAGAGGCACTCAACATTCACAAGGATGCGACAGTACATAATGCCCATATTCACACAGGTTGGGCAATGCAGGACAGAAGAGAGGGGAGGCAAAAACGTACATGTACTGGAAGCAGAATGGCGGGCACACGTCAATTAGGGTGCCAAAATAGGTCAAAGCAACTCAGCGGGATGCACAAGCGGACTACTGACTCCAGTCTGGGGCTCCTGGTGGCTTATCGGGAGTGCCCGTAGTAGGAGATAAATATACACATCAATCGTACGAAAAAATGCCTCGTAGCAAGTAAATTTTTAGTTTCAATTACTTTATGCT